GCTGTTGAATTATTGCTTTACTTCCCCAACACATCATTTAGTCTTCATCTGACAGCATTAATAGGGTAAGACACATCACAGATACTCCGTGTTTGCTCATTTTGAATACATCCCAGTTATTTTCTTGAGTCTTTCCAGTTATAAGTCTTTTAAGACTTATAACCTGGAGCCAACTTCATGAATGGTTCTTTCTTACTTTTGCACTCCTGAGGAAACATGCTGGAAGGTGGAACTGATTCATCACTCCTCAGGGTCTCCTGGAAACAGGCAGGACCTGGGCATGGGGACAGCCTGAGGTTCCAGACCTTTTTCTATTCCTCAAAGTTATGTTTTACATGTGCCTGGTTTTATTTGAAGTGCTATGAATTCTGAGATGAGACACTCATATTTGAGTCTGGTACAAGTAGAAATAATTTTCGACTTAATTCATTTCCAGGATTATCCAAGTTGCTGCTCTTTTCATAATGGTAGAAACTCCTGAATTGACTATAATTCAAAGCAATTATTGTTCTTTGACTGTCAAGGTGCCCTGTTATTCTTTTCATAAATATCTTGGATGATCTGAGCCCAGTTCAAGGCAAAGTCTTTTTTTTCCAGCCCTGTGCCTTTTCACTTGCTAATTTACAGCATTTAAATGAAAGAAAGGAGGCCCGTTTTTGCCCCCGCTGCTAACATGATATACTGTATGTCTGAGTTTTAATTGCCCTTTAATTATACCCTCAGCCAGGTCTGCACAGATATAGTGGGAATTAAACATTAGGGCAAAGCCGGAGAAGGCCTTGCTGACACAGGAAGAAGACAGCTTTGTAATATTTCCTAGACCAGAAGAAAGAACAAGCAAAATGAGAGGTGGTCAGGGAATGTCATAAGCTAACCAAACAATTCATTGAGGAAACATTTTCTGTCTATGACTGCCTTAAACTCTGTGAGCTGCAAAGCTGATGATCCCCCAGTGGTTTGATGTTCAGCTAAGGCTGGCTGGAAATGGAAGAACTTGGATGGCTTGCCTGTGAATTAAGAAATAAGCACAGAAACAAAGAGAAACATGCTATGACATTTTCTAAATATTTACCAAGGGGAGTTGAGAGGAGCCAGATCTGACAGTGAATTCTTCTGCCCACCGCCTACATTCTCCCCTGATCTCCATCTCCCTCCCCAAAGCCAGGAGATCTTCCCCTCCTAGAGCTATTAGAGGGAAGGGACTTCTCTCTGAGTACCCCAGCTAATGCGACGTGATGATTCTGGCATGATAACCACTACATATACTCTTCCTCCCCAAACATCTTCTCTAAAATAAAGGAGTAACCAAAGATTTGTCCATGAAAGCGAACCGAGTCAAATACAAACTACTTTCAGGAGAAAATACCTCTTTTAAAGTATCCTCTGTCCTATACTTTTAGTTTGTAATAGTCTGCATTCTTTCAGAGCCCAGTGTACTTCTGTGGATTTCCCTACCTGGTCTCATTATGAAATCAAATTTCTCATAAGCACAATTATCTTCACTCCTGATCTTCCCAAGTCAATTGGTAAATGTTAATTTGCAAGTCCGAGGTTACAAAAAGTAAATATTATGGATAATGAAGAAATGCATTCAGTATCACTTCAAACCTCCTTCTGGTCATGTTTCCTACATTTTCAGGTCTTAGAGAGTAAAATTTTGTGTTTGATTTTGAAATTTCAAACAACATTCTCCAAGGATGATTTGATGATTAGGTTTAGATTAAAACAGGCATCTGACAGTTCCCTAAAGTCCTTCTCCACTCCCCCTAGAAAAGCTAGGAATTATTTGTCTTAAGATTCATACTAGAGTAGTATGCATACCCATTCTGTAAAAATGTACAACCACCTGTACAACTAACGAGCAATGGAAAGGTTAAAATTCAATGAAATGTTCACAAATGTCTTCTCTCTTGCCTATCATAAATACCTTTTCTTTTTTTAGAGTTCACTAAGATGGAAGTATTGGATAAGGTATGCCCTCATGATCGCCTCAAAAGGACAAAAGAACCTTAGTGGTTCAGTTAGACCATCTTGACCTTGAGAGACAGAGGAGGCAGGAAAGAAATGGGCTAGAGTGATGAGTACGGAAGTCACATAAATGACCAGGTAAACTGCAGCCAGGTCTCACCTTTCAGCAAGTAACTATACAAACAGAAGGCTAGACTCAGTGACCTCCAAGGTCCCTTCCAACTCTAACATCATTTGCCTCATGAATTTTTTATAGACATCCTCTGTCCTATCACACTGTCCCAATGCATCATCGAGCCCTCTTGGCCATTTCCAGGACTGGAAGGAAATTTTAAAAAATACATAAATAAATCTATGCTTTCACTACTGCCAAAGTTACAATTCTGTCCTTGAAACAATGACCTGAACATAATGGACTAAGCTAAAAAACCTCTGAGCAAATAAATGTCCAGTACTGTCTTTATGCAATATTTTTTAAGCTTCTCTGGTTTAAGCAGAATTACTACCCAAAGTCTTGGGACAAAGATTGTGAAGCTAAAAGACAATGCTCCAACCAAATGTTTTCAATTTGTCCTTCTACCCCACCCCCAGTGTCTAACCTTCAAAAGACAGTGGAACCAAACAGCTGAGCTTAAATCCTGGCCCCTCTTTCATCGGCTATGTGATGTGAGACAAGTTATTTAATTCCCCGAACCTGTTTCCCCATTTTTAAAATGCTTACAGTATGAGCTACCTTGCAGAATTACTGTGACAAACAGGATAATATAAAGAAAACTCTGAACCTTCAATTATTTATTCCCTCATTCATTCAGCAAAGATTAACTGAGGATCCATGATCAGCCAGGTACTGAGCTAAGCAATGGTACATAAAAAATAGAATAAATGAATGCTATTATTATTTTTATTTACACCAAACCATCTGTTTCCAGAACTGTGACAAACTCCAAACTTTCACTCACACCTAGTTTGCCTAAAATAGTCACTTTATTTTGCCAAATATGATCCCAGGTGATAGTCTACCTTTTGCCATGCCTGCACCCCCAAAGCTAATTATCCAGCAGGTGTTCTGCTATAGGACACCTTCAGAGCACTTGAAAGCAGCTACTGCTAGAGCAAAAGGTGGTATCCCAGCTCTCTACTGGGCAAGCCACTCAGGAAAACTTGATATGCCTGTGCCGCAAGGCCAGGCCCGGATGCCTGGAAGTTTTCAGGTGCTTTCAATTCCATGACCAGACTCTGAGTCTTCCGAGAACTCAAGATTAACAGGACTGGCTCATCCCCAACCACTGCCACTGGGCCCTGATAAAGCTAAGTGCAGCAGCTGAAGGGTCACATTTTCATAATACAGTAAGTCCCCACCTTGGGACCTTTTGAGTTGCGAATTTTCACAGGTGTACTGTTTGAGATTCACAAGCATACTGTGTAAGACTCACTTTGTTGGATTATGAACAAATGTGAGTTACAAGCATTCTCCCAGAACAGAACTCATTCATAAGTCAGGGACTTACTGTGCAGGGTTTATGTCTTTTCACTGTGCTTTAGAGTTTGATAAAATTCTGTATAAACAACCCACCTCTGGAGTTCACGATTTTCAAGATTGGTGGGCTCTTCTTTATTTTAAGCTTAGAATCCCTTTTGCTAGGTAACTGGCAGAACTCTGGACAAATACAGGCCTACCTCCTTAGGGTGCAGGGCATTCAGTACACTTGAACAAACATTTTGCACTTAAAATTTTCCAAGGGCATCCTGGAACTCAGAGCTCCTAGCAAAAGAGCAAAAGTCTGATCCTGGAATAGATTTCCATGTGCCCTCAATCAAGGAAGGAGAACGGGTGTCAAGGAGGGAATTCTGGAGTGAAATTCAGATGCATCTGTGATGCATCTGTGAAGCATCTGTGAAGCATCTGTGAAGCTAACGAAAGGTCAGTAGACAGTTCAGATGCGCCTAGAATTTTTATACTGCAGACACCTCTCCCTTCAGGAGCTACAGGAATCACCTTCCTTAGAAAGGAAGCACGCATGGTGACTGCCACAGGGCTGGGTTTTGCATGGCTGCATCCTCCAGGAGGTGACAACCCAGCCTCTCCGGACAGAAGTTCCAGGACAAAAGACTCACTGTAACCCCACCCCAACTGGATGCATCTACAATTTTACCAAAAAAACAAAAAGTGCTTCTTTTCATTTTCCTTCTGCAGGTTAGGCATGTTATTAACTCCTAGCACCTCTAATTGCTCACTGTTAACAGTAGTTTGGATATTAATAGGCTGTAAACTGAGGCCCTACCCGAAGCTGGTTGTCATGGAAACAGTATACAAGCCCCTCCAAAGTATAGGGAAGTTGTTGGGAGATTATATTACAGCCCCTGTTATTTCTCTCATTTTCTGCTATTTCTTGGGGTCAAATTGGTGGTGGAGGAGAAACTGATGAGGAGGGTGAGTGGACAGGGGAACCCTGGAGGAGGAAAGGAACTCTGGGAGAGGTGGAGAGTAGGGGAGGGGATCCTTGGAGCGTGGCTCGGGCCCTCGGTTCTTTCCTCTGAGTCCACACCGGCTGCGTCGTGCCCATCGCCTAGAGGCCTGGCCCCTCCGCTGCCCTGCTCTGTCCTCCCCACTGGGCTCTGGGGTAGCCCGGGGAGTGCGCAGCCAAGTTCCAGAAAAGCTCAAAGCGGCCCCGGGGCCGAGGTGCTGGGCAGCGGAAGGCAGAAGGAGCAGCGCAGAGGTCGGACAGGCAAAGGCAGAAACCCTCGGCGCCCGGGCGGTGTCCTGGAGGCGGTGGCCGAAAACGCCCTCGGTCGTGTTCCCCGCGCCCCGGGCGACTCTCTAGGAGCCGGCTCTCCAAGCAAGAGCCCAGCTCTCCAGCGACTTGGAAGTGCGTCCCGGGGCGATCGCTGCCGCAGCCACCCCGGCCTCCGGGGCCCCGCACCCTCTCGCCCCCACGCCCGCCCGACACCTGGGGCAGCGCCCCGTCCTCTCGCGCCGCGCGCTCCAGCGCCCCGCTCCCTGCCGCCGGCCGCGGGGCCCTCTCGGGACTCACCTGCGCGGGGACCGGAGCGGCGGCCACCCCGAGCCCGGGGGCGGCGGCGGCGCAGGGGAAAGAGGGCAGCGCGGGGCTCCTGGCACAGCGGCCGGCGGGCGCCTGGTGCTGCGGAGCCGCGGACCCGCCCAGAGATATAAATAACATTATCTGAGGAGGGACATTCCTGCCGGGGGACATCGCTGCTGCCGGGACCAGATAGTCCCGCGGCGGGGGCGGGGAGGCGGGGCCGCAGCCTCCCGCAGCGCCAGGCCCAGAGCCCGCCTTCCCCACCCACTCCTGCACCTGCCAATCAGCCTCGGCGCCGGGGCACCTGCCAGGCCTCCCAGACCCGGACCCCGTGGTCGCGCGCGTCCCAGCATCCCTCCCATCCCGAACCCCCTGCGCGGGGAGAGGGCTCGACTCTGCAGCTCGGGCCTAATTCGTGCGCCCAGAGCGACGAACCTGGCGGCAAAACCGAGCCCTCCAGCCTTTCCCGCCCTGCGTCCCCTCTGCGTACAGTCCGGTGTTTTAATGTTTAAAGACACGCCGACGCCGCAGGGTAGGCGAGGCGGGCACCCGGGCTGTAGGTCCCCTGCGGCCGGATTGGGAGTGAGGCGCAGATTGTTCCCGTGGGCCGGGTGTAGGAAAGCGGAAAGCGCGCTGCCGGGAGAGCTTCTCCCTACTGGTGTCGAGAGCAGACGCTGGGCGCGCAGGGGGTGGGCACTGGGCCCGAGGCCCCCGCTCCCACCCTGCCGCCCAGGAGGCGCAGTTTCAGCCTGCACACTCAGTAGTCCAGGCGAACCAGGCAAACCCCGCAGCCTGCAGTCCCCCCCGAGCTCGCCCACAGCAGGGACCGTAATCAACAGGCGACCGCCACACCTGCCCACCTGCACTTCTACACCCGGGTCTCTGGGAGCGGGCGAGGGCTTCCTGGCTGCAAGCAGGGTTGGGGTGGGTACAGTAGGCCAGAGGAAACACTAGAACCGGTGGTGCCCAAGAGAAACGTCACAGCACCTCCGAGACACCTCGGCAGAGAAGAATACGGGCAGCTTGCAGGGCAGTTCACTTTCTTACAAGGTCATTGCTCAGTAAGGCTTGCTGTACCAACTTACTGTAGTTTTCGTCCTTCTCCACCTGCTGTGCCTGGCAGAATTTCTCACTAGCCATCCTCCCAGGTCATCTCAGCTATTATGGAGATGGCAGCGCAGATTAAAAGAGCACAGATGCAGAAGAGAGTATTAACTTTGACCGATGCTGCCTGGTATTCTTAACAAGGGAACGGCCTTACTCTTGAGTTATTTGTTTGGGAGTATAATTATGCGCTTTTCCAGGATTCATCAGGAAAAGGGTGTTTAATTGCCAGATGTTCAGGTTTAGTTTATATATTGAATGCATCCAAAGACATTTCACTGCCAGCTGCAGTCACACATCATGATAGTGAACATTTGGACCCTGAGAAGTACTAAGTGGGGCAGACTCCATGGATGTTACATAGGCACAGAACTCTTCAGTACAGCCCACACTTGTCTGGGACCTTTTTACTGTTCAATTTCCCAAAAGACCTAGTAATATAGGAGAGATGATACAAGAATAGTCGTAGTCATCCATCAAGTTCACAGTGATTCCCTTCCCCTTTTGCAGATAACATTTAAGAATCCATTTGTAGGGGCTGGGGTGTTGCTAGGTTGCAGAACAGTCCTGGGTTCCACCCACAGCACCAAAAAAAAAATATCCATTTGTTTATTACTGAGTTTGAAATAGGCCTTTTTCATGGAAAAAAAATCTTCTAGAAATTCTGGCAAGGAAAACTCAAGAAAAACAGGACAACTTCAAAAGCTGAGCCTGTTATGTCTCTCAAACAGAAATCCTTAATCTATTTTTTTTTTGGTACTGGGGATCGAACTTGGGTCCTTGTGCTTGCACAGCGGCGGTGAAACCACTGAGCTAAATCCCCGGCCCTCCTTAATCTATTTTTGAAAGAAAAAAGAGAGAAATTATGTATTTATGTTTTTTAAAACCTTGTGTGAATAAATTTATTAAATAAATTCATGATTCCCTAGAATTGCATTTCCACAGCTACGTAATTATATACACGAAACAGGTAATTCCTTAGCTATAGGTTTGTGGCACTGAACTGAATAGTTGCACACATATTTTTTCTTTGTAGCCTTAAAATTTATAATTTTCAACTACAAAAAAATTAATATGTTAAAAGTTCCAAAGCAGCAGACAGATTAACCCCAAGATTTTACAAACCACCTCAGCTGCTTTAGTTATCTCCACTTTAGCTGAAAGCTAAATAATTCAATACAACCTCATTTGCTACAGATCCTGTTATCCTGACAGCAACCTCAAATGCTTTCCGGCTAATAGAGTTACAGCGAAATGATAAATCAGAGCTGAGTGGAAGAGGAACTTTAGAACGACAGAGAGAAAGAGCATTATCAAATAAGGGAGGGGAAAAAAGGCAGATTTCTGAGAGGAGGAATGAGAAATTAAAGAGAGTGCAAAGAGGGAAGACGGCAAAGGTGATATCAGGGTTGGTGATGGAGGTCCCTGATGTGAGCAGCATGGGGTCGAGTCTGTAGGGAGTTCCTCAGAAGTGTATAGAGTTCCTCTCAGAACTGCCCATCTGCAAAGTGAAGATATGCTGGTGTCCTTGTTGGTTAAGGGGCTGCCCTTGCCAGCATCCCTACCTGTGGACAGCCTACACTTCTAAGTCTCCCAGCCAGCCCACCACCAGGCAATCTGCAGCTTCAGAAGAGTTCTGGGTCCAGAAGGGGAGGTGTGCTCTTGAGACTACAGCAGACCCTGTCAGGCAGGGAGTGGGGAACCCCTGCTAGAACTGTGTACCCAGTGCCAGCTGAAATCAAGAGGTGAGACTGAGAGAATATAAGTGTGGACACTAGATTATCTAACCTAACAGAGAATTTTCACTGTCTATTTCTATATCTCTAAATTTTTCACAATGAGCTTGCATTATTTGATAAGAAACAGAAGCAATAAAATCGTAGATAAAGATTGGATGGAGATGGTGGATTGAGCACACATATTTAGCTTCTCCTCTACCCTGAATATCACAAAGATATGTTGTAAATAGAACAGGAAACTAAAAGCACAAGGAAATTAGAGGGGGAAAAAGGTGAACAATGTTTAAAAAAATGTTTAGGAAATCCTGAACTATAGAAAAGAGGCAAGATTTAATTTGCAAAGAAACAAAATCAGAAGAAATAAAAATGGGTTCAGGAGAAAGAATAATTCAGGGACGTTCTAGACAAGCGTCACGGGATAAAGGAAAAGGAGGAAGAGGGGGCCCCTAGAACAGAGTGATTCACTGAGGCGACTCCTCTCCCTTGCTTCTAAGTATCAGATGTTTACCTGTTGGATAAAGAAGGTGATTGGGATCCTGGGAACTAAAGACAGAGCCCAGGTGTCTGCTGACCTCCAGAAATGAGAGGGAACCTTCACTTTCTCAGGATAGTATGTTCTGACTGACTACAGCCTCTGAAAACAGGCTACAATAAACAGAATGAGCAGGCACACCCATTCTCACCTAAGAGATAATCAGACAAGAAAAATCATCAAATGTTTCGTGGGGGTAAGGGGGCCAAAACCCTGAAAGAGAACTACCGGACTCAACAAATAGAAATAACATCAGAGGGCTGGGGATTTAGCTCAGTGGTTTAGCCGCCTGCTGCGCAAGCGCAATGACCCAAGTTTGATCCCCGGTACCAAAAAAAAAAAAAAAAAAGAAAAAGAAAAAAGAAATAACATCAGAGGAAATTAAGTTAATAAAGGAAGCAGAAGACAAATTTCAAATGAATTTACGCATTTAGGAAAATTTGAAAGGACATGTGATTCACGACAATCAGTGAGAAGTCTTACACATTTAAAAAGTAATTTCTGGTGCTGAAAATTCATTAGCTGATAAGCACAATAGACCAAGTTGAAGAATAGATTGATAGTAGCACAAGCCAAAGAAACTTTCTCCAAATCCAGGGAAAAGACAAGGAGACAAAAAGCTCATAAACATGGCGGAGAACCATGAGGTTAAGATCAAGATCCAATGTCTGTTTAGGAGAGATTTCAGAAGAACAGAAGACAGAGTGCAAAGGGAACACAATAAGGAGAAAGTAAATTTTTTCAAAATTGAAGAAAAATACAAATTTTCAGATCATGAAATCCTACCGAGTTGAGAGCCAAATGAAGATTTTTAAACACAGTTTGAAGTTTTATGAACAGTTTAAAATGTATGATTTTATCTATAAAATCTTAGACCTTAGGTAAAATTAAATCATAAGCCAAAAACCATAATAAACCAGACTAATTTGCTGTGCCTTGAGTTAAATTGATCTTAAAAAAAACCCTTATTTTGCTGACTCTTAGAACCAAAGCTATTGGTTTGAAATAGATAAGCACTTGGAATTAGAAACAAATGTGTATGTATATGTATAGGTTAGAAAGGTACTTTAAAACATAAATACCAAACCGAAAAACCTTAGGGTTCAAATCCCTGCTAATAACAGTGAAAGAATAAAGAAATAATGATACTATCATGAGCAAGAACCTGGGTTCAATCCTGGACACTACAAACAAAGACTCATGAGGCACAAAAAATGTCAGATTAGTACCTTGGGTTCAATAAATTTTAAGTCCTTCTTCTTTACTTTTATTGTTGAGATGCAGCTTATGATACTAAGGTGAAATTTCCATTCCCTGTCTAGAAACATCTAGAAGCATCATATCCTCCACAACTTTCAAAGGTAAAAGGCTGGGTGAGGTGGCGCACAGCTACAGAGTAGCTGTAATCCCAGCTACTCTGGAGGCTGAGGTAGGAGGACGGCAAGTTCAAGGCCAACCTGGGGAACTGAGTGAGACTGTCTCAAAATAAAAGGGGTTGCTGATGTAACTCAGTGTTAGAACTTGCCTGGGTTTGATCTCCAATACAGGGCTGGTGGGTAGGGCATGTAGGAGGGAACAAAGAAACAGTAGGGCTAATTCAAAAAGTCCATCATTTACAATAGGAGCTGAGGACTAGCAACCAAACTTTCTCCTTCAGATGCCTCAGAGTTGTTTGTTTTTTGTTTTTGTTTTTTTGGTACCGGGGATCGAACTTGGGTCCTTGCGCTTGCACAGCAGGCTGCAAAACCACTGAGCTAAATCCTCCTAACTACGCTCCCATTCTCCAGTTTCACTCTCTTTCAATTTTTCTACATAGAC